AATTTTCAGGTTTTCCTCCTAACTAATGCAAATGATAGTGAAAATTAGGTGACAATAAACAAATTAAAAATACTCTTACTTCATTGTCAGCAGAGTCACATTCCTGGACAATACTGATGATCCCTGACCTAACAGTTCAATTTCAAAATTATCCATATTATAATACAAAAGTACACGCTACAACCACTTTTTTTTTTTTTACTTTTAGTACAGCATTTAATAAATTATATGAAGAATTTTATCCTTACTATAAAACAGAGTACGTGTTGGAAGATTTATTAAACTGTAGGTTAGTAAGTGTTCTCAACATTTAAGGGTAAGCTAAGGTATGATGCTCAGCAGGCTTAGTGTATTAAATGCATTTCTGACAATGCATTAATGACATCTTCTAATGTGTTTACTTACTTCATTGTAAGTAAAAAGCATCTGTATGTATTATGTCTAGTCATTAATACAACTGCTCAGTCTAAACCTTTTGCACCCACACGTACCAAACACATACCAAAAGTCAAGTTTCTCCATTCTACTGCAAGATTCAAATACAGTACTATATTACTTTCATAATGAAGAATTTTCAATTAAAAATATACTTCAAGATTATATGCAACTACAGACAGAATGAAAACTGAGGATATCTTTGAATATGCAATATTTACCTGGTTCTTCCTTGATGATTAGGGCCTTATTTTCTTCTGGATAGGTAACAGGTGGTTGTATCACTGAACAATCTTCTAAATTTGTTTCATTATTAGGTGGTATATTATAAATAAATCTCTTTGTAGTTTGGTTTTTCCTCCTTGTTTTGCCAGTCTCTTGAATTCCCTGGGAGCCCATATTATTCCAAATAAATACTTTTGTTTGACCTTGAGATTCATTTTCAGCCAATTCAGGAGAACCATCCTGGACCCAATGACTGTCATTCATTTGGTAGTTTTCTATTTGGCCCTCGTCGACATTACAACCATCATTTTCAATTTTTAAATTACTTGCCAAATTGGTCAGATTCCGTGTTGCCCAAAAGCTGGCAATTTTTTGATCCCGTGATGAAGTCAGACCATCTCTATTAACTGGTTTTCTATTATTATAGTCCACAACTACAGACTCTGGAGCTTCTGATTTAATGCTTATATTTAAGGCATCTTTAATGAAATTTCGGCAAGTTTGAACAACTTCACTCATTTGAAGATAGCTGGCCACTGTCATCACTTCAATGGCATTTTGGCTTGTGAGCACCAGGTTACCAGAATACAAGAAGTCCAAGATGACTGAAAAACCTTGAACTGCAGCAATATCTAAATGGGTAGTATTGTTTTGGTTAGGGCTTTCTTTGTTTGAAACACAATATAAAGTCTTAAAGAAACGGCTGCCTGCAACCAGGATGTTCTTATGAGCTTTAAAGATTTTCCCGCTCACCACAATGCTGACATCACAAAGAATATCTTTCTTTCTCTGTTCATCTAGTTGTCGAAGAAGTTGATAGCAATAAGAGTTCTCATTTGGCCTACTATTAAAGTCACAGTACCCCTCCTCTGATGGTATTTCTGACTCCTGTAATTGGATGGAAAACATTAACATTAAATTTTATTTACATTTAAAAGTCCCCAATCCAAGGAAAACAAATATGATTGTCAAAATAAATCATTAAAAATACCAAATATACCAACTTATGAGCAATTATGCACTTTGAGGCTGCAATGTTCATCATACCAAGAGTGAACAGAATGTAATGCAGCTCACTGCCAGTAGAAAACTGGAATTCATCTGAGTGGGTCAGCAGGGTGTCATCGGGTATTCTTTTAGTTATAAGCCAAGGATATGAATTAAGAATATTAAAAATAAAAATGAAAAGAGCAATTATTTTCTCAAGAAATTTTCATTTACAATGAATCAAATTAGTCTGCTTTATCTGATAGGAAAGTAGCAGTTTCTTCTTGCTAAACTTATAACATCCAAGTTATAATACAGTAGGCATATTGCCCTAACACTACTAAAAAGCTTTAAGTCTAGGAAAACACTGAATAAAATAGCTTAGATCAAAGAAGTTAATTAAATCTAAAGTAGTGATAAAAGTTAAGACTGGCAAGAGAAAATTTCCTTCCACTACCCAAATATCCAGTAATATAATTCTTCTAGCCAACTTTCAAAATGCTTTTTTGTTCAGTCACAGCTACTAAAACCTATAAGGCAATTTAAAATTCCTGAATTCTTTCAAGAGGCTCTAATATATATAAATCTTACTTCTCATTAGGCATACAAGTATTCATTTTAGGTCTATCTGACATCACTTCAGGTAAACTTCCTACACAGCAATCAAGCTAGGCAGGGTGGCTCACACCTATAATTCTACCACCAGGGCTGAGGCAGGAGGCTCAGGAGTTCAAGGTTATCCTTGACCACACAGTGTCTTATGAGGCCAGACTAGGCTACCTGAGACCTGCCTTAAAAAAAAAAAATTAAAAAAAGGCTGGGGATTCTGAGTTCAATCTCCAGCACTGCAAGTAAAACAAAAATTAAGATAACATGATATAAGAGTAAGCATGTGTTTTTTTAAAAATGTGATCTAATTTCAGAATGTATCCTCACTATCCCTGAGGCCTTCTCTTAAATTTAAATAAAGCAGCACTGTGAACATTCGTTCTAATTAATAACTTTATGGCTTCATTCAGTGAATAGGTAGGCAGCAGTCTTCAGGCAGAGCTTCCTATCTTTACTGCCTTTAGTAGTGCTTTGCACTATTTCTGTGTACTTTCCAGTTGTTAGCAGTCAAGTAAAAGAAAACATAATTCCAGTACAGTTCATTGTTTCATAGTATTATGGAATACATGGAGCACGCTCCAAATCTGAGGTACATAACTGTTACACACTTGAAGCATGGGCTAGCCAATTTCCTTGATTTTTCAGTTGGCCTTTGGTAGCCTAACCACCCTGGTTGCATGAGGCCATTCTACAGCAATCCTCCCCAAGCTTACCCTTATGATACCAATCATCTCCAAAACTGGTTAACAGTCAAGAATAAAATAATGAAACAAACCCATTCATGAGTAAAAGTATAATTTCTTGCTTTAGGGAATGAAAAAATGTAGGCTTAAAAATTGAGGGGAGAGGGGTAGCAAAGGCTAGTCTCCTTATTTTCATGCATCATTCCTTCAAGTACTGGGATTTCAGGCATAGCTCCTCATCCCATGTTCACCATCTTTTTTTTGGGGGGGGGGGTGAGGGGTGCTGGACATAGAACCCAGAGCCTCATACATGTGCATGAGCTTGACCCCAGTTGCTAGAGGCTATTTAACATAGGTCTTATATATAAACTGTATGCTGTGAAATTTCAAAATATTTAGCAAAAGAGAATGAAAATATTTGACTTGTGTGAATATAAAACTAAGGTAATTTTTAAAACGCCTCTACTAATTATTGTTACAGCATAACTTTCTATGAAAGCATCACATTGGTCTCCTTCCTCTCAAGAGATAAAGCACAAAGCCTGGCTTGTTCTAAAACAGACCATCTCCAGCTGGAGAGATGGCTCAGTAGTTAAGAGCACTGGCTGCTCTTACAGAGGACCCAGGTTCAGTTCCTAGTACCCCCACAGGGGCTAAGAACGGTCTTTAACTCCAGTTCTACGGGGTCTGACACCCTCTTCTGGCTTCCACAATCACTGCATGCATGTGGTACACTTTACAGGAAAAACAAAATACAAATACATTTTTAAAAATTTAAGATATTAAAACAGACTATCTGAACAAAATTCTTAACTTGCCAAAGCTCTCTACAGCCAAGTCTGAACATAAGAAACAAAATAACAAAATGTTTAACACTTGATAAAATTTGGCAGTTCATCTATAAGGAGTTGTAGAAGGAGTTTTGTGAGACAGGGTGTCCCTGTAGCCCCAGCTGACCTGGAATTCCCTATGTAGACCAGGCTGGCCTCCATCTCACAGAGATCCACCTGTGTCCCAGAGTGCTGAGGTTAAATTAAAGGCATGCATCATCACACCTGGCTTTATTGCCCTTATTTTTAACGCTTTCCAAAACGTACCAATGGGACACCTATTCTGTATTGATATAAACTATCCAAATCAAACACTATGTGACCACTGTGTTTTCTCATTATCACTGTACTGGAACATCAATATCCTCTGCTTTTAAAAAGCTACCCATAACTTTTTTCTCACTACTTACTAAAGGACTTTACTGTATGTGCCAGCTATTAAGAACACCCTTCAAAAATGAAGATTTTCCAAGTCATGTATATGTGCAGTCTCCGGAGATTATTTGAGGATTTTCATATAACACAACTAAATAGCAAATAAAATGATATGATATAGTTTGTTGAACCAAATAAAAAATTCCTTGTATTAGAAGCAAAACCTCAAATGAATTTAAATTTGAAGTTATTGCTTATAGGACAGATCCTTAAGGTACTTAAGAGTATAAACATGGGTGTTATAGAAAAGCAGGAATTGTGGATATAGTAATGCTTTGAAGGAGATGAGCACAACCTTAAAAAAAAATTTGGAGTAGAATTGGAAAATAAACATCCTAAACAAATGAGATGCAGAGAGATGGTCTACAGCATCCTCAAAAATCATGCAAGAGCTGCAAGGTGTTCCCCAAAGCCTTTCAAACTCAAGCACAAAAGCTCTTAAAACTCAAGCAACATGCACATTTGTTCAAGTAAATGTTCACTTTCATCTGATTTATAAAAGAACAAACAGCACTACCAGTCAGTAGTGGCACATGCCTGTAATCCCAGCCATCAGGAGATAAGCAGGAGAATCCCAAGGTCCAGACCAACTGGTACTGTATAGTAAGACTGATCCAATAAACTAAAGAAACAGAGAGATAGAGCCAAGTCTAATAGCAAAGGCGTATAATGGCAGCAACTGGGGCAGCTAAGCAGGAAGACCTCAAGTTCAAGAACTGCTTGCTCTATAGCAGATTCAAGGCAAGTCTGGGTTACTTGAAACCCTGTCTTAGAATAAAAAGTAAAAAAGAGGGGTGGAGTGTTTGCTTAGCATGCAAAGGGCCATAGATTCATTCAATCCCTAGCACCACAGAAATCTTAAAAAGCAGATTCTTCAAAAGGCATTCTTATGAATGCCTTATAGAGCTTGAGAGGGGCGAGGGAGACAAGAGAAAGGGAGAGAGAAAGGGAATGGTAGAGATGGAACGCAGAGTCAGAGGTGGTTTTTTTTGTTGTTTTTTTTTTCTTTTTTTGGTCTTTTTGAGACATGGTTTCCTGGTAGCCCCGGCTGGCCTGGAACTCACTATGTAGGCTAAATGGCTTTGATCCCGGAGATCCACCTGCCTCTCTCTACCTTCTGAGTGCTGGTTGGGATTAAAGGAGTGTGCCACCATGCCTGGCAGAGTCAGATTTTTAAAAACATAATTACAGGATTGGGTTGCCAGACAGAAGCTATAACCATGCCAGCAATGTGAAGGATCAATACTAGGGGATTAAGACTGCAGATACTACAACCACTTGGGAACCTACTGATAGTGGTAAGGTAGTGAGGCTTGGGAAGTGGCTGAGTTTGGTAGGGTGCTTGTCTAGCTGTACAAAGTCCTGTGTGTGATCCTCAGCACTGCATACCTATAACCCTTGGCACTAGGGTGGTAGGGGCAGTAGTATCCTTAGTTTAAGGTCATCCTCAGTCACATAAGGAATTTGAGGCCAGCCTGGGCTACATAAGACCCTGTCTCAAAAAAAAAATGTAATATATTTATAACAGGAAATAAGGACCTAGGGAAGATGGATGTTAGTGGAAGGTGAGACAGAGCCTGAAAAATATTTGAAGTTATATTAGCTTAATTTAAGTAATGAAATGGGGGAAAAGGACAAAAAATAATGTCTCTAGTTACCAACTTGCAGACCATTATCCAATCCCTTTTGAGAGAGAGAAAATTAAACTTCAGTTTGTCTATAATCAACCCTTAAAATGATAAGAAAATGCTACTTAGCTAAAAAGAATTTTAAAACCAGCACATATTTCCTTTCCTCGCAGAAGGACTGTAAAGTCCTTTTATGATAATCAGACTAGCAGAAGATACTCCAACACAAACATCAATGTGTGAGCCGAAAATATTAAAAACATCAATATCTACATTTGTCTATTTTAGGAACCTATTGGAACAATATATACTGGGAAAAAATTTCTGATTTGAAATCCAAATTTAAAAATCAAATTCAATTTATACAATTTGAGAATATACAAGGCCATAGCAAATATAATCATATGCTCTTATTTGGTACTAACAAATTTTAATAGTTGATGGGAAAAAAAACGCTATTTTCTGAGGTCTTATCTTCATCACCTCTCTGATACCTTTTTGTGATGGGATCTCTTCTAGTCACTTAGATACCATTCCCAGAAAACTAGGAACTTTTATGAGCTTTCTCCTCAAATTCTAAGCCCCTATACACTTTACACTGGTGTCTCTAAATAGCAACACATACACAAAAATCAACTGATTCTTCCACCTAAAACTGGTGTTGACCATTTGTTAACAGAATATAACACAATCTTTTTGTTATTTTCATTTGGTTG